TATAAAAAAAAAAAAGAACATGGCACCACTATTCAATTAAGGACTGAGACGAGAGAGAATGCGAGTAACACTATAGTTCTTATTTCCTTAAACGGCTATATTCTATATTACAAGCACCAAGACGCACCTACAGCCAGCTCAGGACCCAACTCGACGCGTTATGTGCCGAAGGACGTTTTACTGATTAATGGCCATCGTGAAACTGGGTGGGGCTTCTGACATTTTGGGGCGACCACTCAAGCAGAGCCTATGTTTGGGGGCCCCCAATGAAACTTGTTTTTAAAAGGGAGCATGTCTGCGGATTTGTATCGGTCAGTCCTCGGTGCTGGTAACTTCTCCCTCTGATCTGCGCCTACGATCGATGTTTCGACTCTCAGCAGCAGCCATACCGTCTCCTGATGATCGCGCATGCTGCAGACGATACCTCTTGGTCACCCCTCCGGCACTACAAGCACTCCAGCAGGTACTCCCTCCCGGCGATCCACATTGGATCGTGCAGATGACACCTCCGTAGATTTACTTTTGGACTTTTTATTTTGTCCCAGTTGTTTTGATTTTGTTCCACAGCCACCATAACACATTTTTATTATTGTTTTTTGAAGAGTTGCGTTTGTGTATATATGATATATATTTGCCAGTCATTTCCAAGGCAGTTTTCACAGGTGCAATTTAAAATTATGGTTTTATAATAATTTTTATTTTTTTTATTTTTTTTTAATTTTGCGACCGATTTGCGACTAAAAATAAAAACTTTAAATTTACTATTTGCGACCGAATTTCATAATTGCGACAGACTTATTCTGCGACCAATTTGCGACAGTGTTTCCAATGGCAAACACGACCAAATTTTGCAACCGATTTTTTTAATTTTGCGACCAACTAATCGGTCGTCAATTTGCGACCGATGAAAAAATCGGTCGCAAAATTTTTTGCGACAAGCATTGTTGCGACCGATTTCTTACGTTTTGCGACCGATTGGTCGGTCGCAAAATACTGTTTTTTTTTTGTAGTGCCTGTGGAAGCAAGCAAAGAAGGAAGATCGGATAAAGCAACTGCAAAAGAAAAAGGAAAGGAAATCCTATTCACCAGTCTATGGTTCAATCAAAACCAATAACGAAATGGGTTACAAGCCAAGGTCTGATAAGAGCTCTACAAATCAAACCTTTCATATTTCCAATTAAGCTAATTAATAAAAACATTATCATAAATGTATCTATTAACATTAATTGGACTATGGTGAACAACAACATAAATTGTTTGACCCACAATTAAAGTTTACATACACGTATATCATTCTTCCAATTAAACTTACTAATCATTTAGTTAATCATTTAATTATACAATCATACATCCATTTCCTTAATTCAAGCACCAAATATACTAATTATACATCCAATGACTTAATTAGGTGTAATTAGGCAACACGCATAGTGATATGTCAAACAATGTAGCATTTCTTATCACTTAAAATCATGTATTGACTCATAAATGTTTCACTTCACCGATCAAAACTATTCACACCTTTATTCTTGCATAAATCCTATGCATGCTCATTCTAGTTCATGCTTTCATAAAGTTTCATTCATCGATGTGCAACTAACAACCTTACACATGATATTGTCATTCAATACGCGTATATTTAATTAGGCATCATAAAATAATACCTTAGCTCATAACATGTGAAAGATCAAATAGATATCTTAGCATCGGCTTGGCCTATCATATCAAGTAGATTAGCTAAGTTCGTTCTATCATGTAGTCATGCAATGCATGTCATTTGACCTTAATAGAACATTAAAACAATCAATTTCATCAACCCTAACCAATTTCATAATCCAAACTTACATTTAATTTCATAATCCAATGCTAAACCCTAGTTTACTCAATTGCCACATCCAAACTTACGTTTAACCATTAGGTCATATTATCAAGTTAAATGAAGTGATACTTCCTAATTAAAATCAATTAAACAAGACTCATATCTTATTTATTTCCTTTTTGGTTTTCATGTGAGATTTTAGTCTTAATTAGAGAAGATTCTAAAAAAAACCACATCAAAGATACATTAGGTATGCTTTTGGAGTGTTTATGCATCATTAGTAGGTCAAAAATACATAGTTGCATTGTGAGAGTCAGGGAAGTCCACAATCAGGCCGTGTACTCTGACATGTCCATGTCAGCAGGCCACATCTCACCAATTAGGAGACTACACAGCTTGGGCATGTTAAGCAACACGACAGTGTAATCTGGGTTTTCCAGTTACTTAGATTTCACTCTCTTAAAGCCTTTAAACATGCCAAATCAATTCTTCCTCTCAAGAATCAAACATTAACATTTTAAAAACACTTTCAAACATGCTAAATAAGAGTAGAACACTCAAGGAACATTACATATTTCATTCATAACATGAAATTCAATTAAAAAAATCAAATTCACTAAAAACCCCCAAATCAATTACATAAACCCTTGTTTGCAAATTGTGTAAAACCAAATAAAACATTCACATATATGTTAAGCACTAACCTTTGGTTGCACGATTCAAAGCTTAATTACATCCAGTTAAGCCTTTTTCTTGCCTTCCACACTCTTTGAAGGTTCACCCTTCTCTAAATCAATTAATAAAAAGCACAATCAAATAATGCAACTAATGACGATTCTTAGTCTACCTGATCAGTAAACATGAATGCAACTGTTAAAATCTCCTTTAATAGAAACCACACTCAATAATTTCACTCTTTTTTTTTTTTTTTTTTTTTTTTAGAAACCACACTCATAAATTTCACTCTTTTTTTTTTTTTTTTTTTTTTTTTCGTATGTCCTTTTTGTTAGATATTTAAAAGAAAAATCACAGAGAGAATTGGACAGAGAGGTTTCGGTCACTTTTTAAGGAATAAAAGAGGAGGAGCGCGCGAATCAATATGATAAGAGAGGCTACGACATTGTTATATATATTTATATATATATTAGTTAGATTACAAGTAGGTCCTATGGCCCATGTGGGTAAGACGCTCAATTTTTGCCCCAAAAGGACTCAAGTGAGACAACCATTTTTTGTGATAAAGTGAGGTTGGAGAAAAAGGACTCAGTGATGACAACCTTTTTTGTGATAAAGTGAGTTGGAGATATCCGATGAATTTGATTCTCAGACCGCTGATCGGAGTTTAAGAAATGCAACCCAACCGGCCAATTTCACGTTTTCAGGTTCGAATTGAAACAGGACCGAAAAATGTGTCTCGGGTACACTCGTGACGTGTCCCGGTGCCTCATTTTGCATGCCACCTAGGCTGATTTCGTACAAACCAGACTCGGCCCATTTTTGGGGCCCACAAATGGCACTTGCCACCTAAGCCCTAAAAGTGGGCAACACCTCCCCCCATTTGCCTGTAAATAGAGGTATGGGGAATGGGTTAAGAGGAATTTTTGGTTCCCTAGCCAAACTCCCGTGATTTTGATTCTCAAAAACCCCTTAATCTAAATCCTTAGCAAGTGTTATTGATTTGGCATTAAGGGATAACATTTCTATACACAAAACTCTAGTGGGTTTGGTAATCAATCTTTCCCAAAACATAAATCAATCAAACAAACTCGGACCATTGATCAAAGAACCAAAGTTCTTGGGTGTTTCTACCATTTGAGATCCAAATCTCAAGTTTTTCCTCAAAGCAAGGTAAACTGCATTTGAGATCCAAATCTCAAGTTTTTCCTCAAAGCAAGGTAAACTGAGAGTATAAACCCTTTCTCTTCCTCTTTTTCTTTTTATTTTGCTGTTAAATCACCACTCTTAAGTCTGGTTGTGAGGAAAACCAGTTATCAACCAAAAGGAGGCATTTTGGGTGTTAGTGGCACAAGCCACAGTGTAGTGGCGCACGCCACAAGCATGGGCCCTGTGCCACTTCTTCCCAGAAGGCTCTAGAATGCTCATTTGTGGGTATTCTGATCTGGGTAAGATTGCGCGCCACTATGTTTGGCGTGCGCCACTGGACCTTCATTTTGAAAGCCAAACAACATGAAATCAATAACTAGGCATTGGTTCCGTGATTCAAGAGAGTTATGCCTTATGCATTCTTGCTTAAAATGCATTCTAAACTCACTTTGATTTGGATGAGCAAATAAAGAAGGGAAATGAGTAGTGATGGTTGTAGTTGTTCATCATTCATGATGAACAAAAAATTCTTGAACTCAAATCTCATTCTAAATTAAATAACAACGATTTATTATTCTGTCATTTACTTTCCAGTTCTTTCAATTCTAGTACTTTAAATTTCAGTTCTTTAATTATTATGCACTTTACTTTAATGATGTTTAGTTTATGTAAATCTAACCCCTTTAACTTTAGTATTAGAACATCCTAACATTATCGTTCATTATTTTGTCATTATTGAATGAATGTATGTTATTCTTTATATTTGGATCATTGTTTTATTCATTATGTTAAGCTCAATGTAAAGGGTCCATAAGGATTCCTATTAAAGCTTGTTTGTAATAGATAGATTGGGTATTTGGAAATTTGGAGGGTTTGAGGGTAGATTGTAATAGCTAGGGTGGTTTGTCATTTGTTTCTCCTCCCTCCCCTTCTCTGGATGGTTTATTTCATGTTGTGTGGATGAGATTGAATGTGTGTTTGACATGTTTTTTAAAAATGCATAAAAGGTTTTACACCTCAATTTTTTAGTTAATTGCACTATTAAATTATTGAGAATAATGGACAAATAGGAGGCTAGCTTAATACCTTCCCATTTCATACCTAACTCCCGGACTCTATCTCTTGTTTAAAATCGGATTATTCGATTCCAAAGAATCGATTAATTTGAGAATTTTCCCTAATTCACCTAATAAGGGTGGCGACTCCAAAATAAAACTATTACCAAGTAAGAGAACTTTTTTTCGAGGATTTAAACGGGTTTACTAAAAAGAAAGTCGTTTGAATCGATTAATTTGAGAATTTTCCCTAATAAGGGTGGCGACTCCAAAATAAAACTATTACCAAAGTAAGAGAACCTTTTTCGAGGATTAAACGGGTTTACTAAAAAGAAAGTCGTTTTATTAAATAGAATAAATCAAGCTCATTCGATACGATTCTTTCCAATATTTTGGGAAAAATCCGACGTCCTCACCATGGTAAATGGGCTTTATAAAAAATTACTTTGTCACAATTAAAATAAGTTAAAATCAATTTAAATAGGTTAAAACCATTTAATTGAAAGCTTTCAGTCAAAATCAATTAAAACCAATAGTTTTTCCCTAATTTCAAAACATAATTCAAATCAATCTAAAATTAACAATTGAAATCATAATTTTGCAATTCAAATATCCACTTAATGGAAACCCTACATGCAATGCATGATTCACACATCAAAACACAATCAACTAAAAAATCACCCTTCAAGATTTAAAATAGTTCCAAAACTCCAATCTGGTACTAATTATGAATCTATCAAGCTGTCACTCATAACTCTAGAAATCAGGGTGTTACACTTGTTGATGGTTCAGGTCAGTGTTTAAGGATTGGATCGGGGCTTTGCCTCCCAATTTAGGTGCTTAGGTTTAGTTTAAGGCTTTGTGGTAGCTCATGTCAATTTTGAGACTTTGGGTATTTGGAAGGCAATGCTCAAATTAGTACTTGAGGCCTTGATTAGGATATTGCCCTAGTTTGGGTGCTTAGGTTTGGTTTAAGGCTTCTTGATGGCTTAGGTTAGTGTCTGAGACTTGGATCAAGGCTTTCGCCCCCAGTTTAGGTGCTTAGGTCGGGTTTAAGACCTTTTAATAGCTTAGGTTAGGGTTTGAGGCTTGAAAAATTAGAAAGCAATGTTTAGATCAGTACTTGAGGATTAGATAAGGCCATTGCCCCCAGTTTAGGTGCTTAGGTTGAGTTTAAGGCTTGAGTAGGGATTTGTGTTTAGGTTTGACCACTGGTTGGTGTTTAGGTTTGACCGTTGGTTTGGTGTTTAGGTTTTACCACTAAATGGTGTTTAGGGATTAGCCATTAGGTTGGTTTTGGGTTCGACCATGGATTGGTGTTTAGGCTTGACCATGGGTATAGTGCTTGGGGATTTCTATGTCCATGACATGTAATTCTTGAATGTATGAATGTTGTGCCAAAAATGGTTTCATGATTTTTAGTGCATATAATCCTAGGGATCGGTCTAAGGTCGTTACAAAAGATTAGCTTAAGGGTCCCATCCACTAGAGTTGCAATATACTTCGTCATTTGACCATGTTGTATCAAATGGAACGATTGGTATGCCAAACCCTTTACCCTACTGAAAGGATCAGAGGTATGCAGGATTGAGTGAGCAGCTTTCTCAACCTAAGGCAACTCTAAGGAAGATTGCCCTTAGGTTGTAATAGTAACACAGTTTGCTTAATTTCTAATAATGGGAAAGGATCCTAAATGATGCATCTGAATGTATGCAAAAAGTGATTACTTGCTTAATCCCGAACCGGAGATTCGAAGCCTACTCTATAGTCCTCTTATTACATTTTTTAGTTTTGACAAAATGTTAAAGTCCCAGCATAGCCGCCAACTGTGAGCCCCCTTCCAAGTGCCATAGGAAAGATCAAAAGGACGGAGTCGATCCAGACGGGCTCACTGGTCGGTTTGTCATGGAAAGTAGTAGAAACTCCTACGATTCCTTTTTATTGGATTATGGCTCGGTTTAGCACTTATGTGTGTTGGAGCGCTACTTGACAAAATATTAGGTGGTGGACGGACTGGGCTTTAATTGATGAAGTTCAAGTTTAGTGATTATACCCTAAGTCAAGTCAAGATCAGGTGGTCAATTTGTGCGAGCGTGCGGCTTCGGAGTTCCACGATTTGCCTTCTCGATCAAGGAGATCGATTCTTGCTCCAAAATAGTGCTCAGGATGGGCACGAGGGCTTGATTAAGTCCTTAATTAATAATAATTATAACTTTGAACTAAGGAAGTCCAAAGTGATTGAACGTCGAAAGGACCGACGTTTGAGACCCAAGTTAGCTTTTTTAATCAATTAAGGAAAACGAGTAAAAATCAAAATTTATGGCCTTAGAATCATATTTGAGGGGGAGAGAGAGTTATTAATGCTTGAGAAACATTCAATCAAGCAACAAGAGGTACCAAATAGGGGGGAGGAGGCTGAATTTATAGGGTTGAGGAGTGTCTGGCCGGTACCAGCCTGCCTTTGTCGATACCAGACACCTGAGCTTCGGTACTAGTGCTACCTCCCTTGGTAGCCATGGCCGGTACTGCCCAGGGGTGGCTGATAGCACCACCTGCATGGTCGATACTAGTAGGGTTGATTTACACCATTGCCCTTTTAGTTCCTATTCAGGCTTTTGGCTTCTAGAGGTCCGTTTAAGGCCCAAACAACATCCAATCGAGATGATTCTTGCACCATTTGAACGTAATAAAATTTCCTAAAGCTTGTTGCTGAAATCATGCCAACACATATACTATAAATGCTTATTCATGTTTTCTATTCAAATGATTATATGATTATGAGCTTGATTATGAAACCTTGATTTGAATGTATGTTGCCATCGCAATATTTGGAATTTATGTGATTTATGAGCATCATTGAGTTTTATACTCAGCGCATCAATTATCACACGAAGGTTGTAGATCGAAGGTTCTATTAGTATACCAAAATCAGCATTAGAGCGTAAGGATCTCTTTTTGGTAGTCTTTAGATTATGTCTTATAATTATTCAAATTTATGGCATGTATAAGTTAAGATTATTGAAATATTTTAGAGACTTATTTATGAGAATTTATATTAAAAGCATGTATCTGGTTTATATATTATTAAGTTGTAGGAATGGATTTTAAGTTATGTATGCATGAATGATTATGGAATTATATCTATGACTATGAGTGATTTATGGGAATGATGATCTTAATGATGAATAAAGGATTATGCACGTTTTGTAGTTGAGATTGAGATTGAGATTGAGATTGAGTTTGATTATATTGGAGTTTGTTAAATGATTGAGACTTTGAATTAGAAGTGTTTTCTATTTACAGGTTTTTAGATAAGTCCAGTTTTTACAGGAAATTCTTGCAGTTTGTCTATAGGATTTTCCAAAATATTTTCTAAGTTAAAATTTAAGGACTTATTAGACTTGTTAATACATAATCACTCTTAATTCATATATTAATTTTTAAGATTAATTTGTGAGCTAGGCTGGTCAATGTAGCATCCTCCGCCTAATCCTCCAATACTAGGCAGCGAGTGTTACATTTAATCTTTAATTAAGGTTCCAATTATGATATTAGTACTTATATTGCCCAAATATTACATGGCCTCAATATAGGTGATAATTAATTACTTAATTAGGTCCTTAGTCATCCTTAATTAGTCCATAGTTCATCAAATTTGTTCCTAACTCTTCCAAGCTCAGAAAAATGTTGCCAAATCCTTAGAAAATGTCTCAAAATAATCCATATGATTTAAAAAACATCCAAACCGATCCATAGGTGATTTAGTTTGCATGATTAAAGCATAAATCACATGTTTAATTGATAAAACACCAAAATAAATATCACCAATATCAATCAGCAAATCATAAATCATCAAAATAAAATTCAATTTACATTTAAATGGCACACATGACTTTGTTTAGCACAAATTGCACATCAAAATCTTCACCAAATTATTCCATAATGAACATACAACATTATTTCAACATATTACTCAAGATTTCAAGTAATTAAAATACACACAAAATTAAAGGGAGATAGCAGCTCCCTTATTAGGACATAGCTTCAAAAAATTCATGGAAATTTCATAAAATCATGTTAAGGTGCAAATCATGGTATATACTTATCAAGCATCAATTTTCATTATTAAAATCATATTTTATATCATCAAAAAGCCAAATCAAGCAAGATTAATACCTAAATATCGGAATGGATTTTATAAATACAAACCTCAAAACATTATGCCTCAACCACCTCCTTTCCCTTATTCTTAGATGTAGAACCTTCTAAGAAAGGAAAAATCTAAAATAAGTGCATAGACTTATGAAATCTAAATGCATGAATAACATAAATAAATGTATGAGAACCTATTTCTAGTCTTAATTTGAAAAATCGCTAAGATTTTAGATGAGAGAGATAGGTTTTAATGAGAGAAAGCTTACCAATGGTGAAAATTAGGGATTTTGATGCAAGATTCATCTACTTAGATTAGGTACTTTAATATTTTTGCTTGAACTTGTTCAAAAATGGTGTCTTTGATGGTGTTGTGAAGAAAAAATGGAGAAAGGGACAGAGCTTGGTTTTGGTGGGTAGGATTTTGATGGAAAAGAAGATGGGTCGTAGCATTTTTGGTTCTTTAGGTTTTAGATGGTTTTCGACACTTTGGTCATTTCTCCAAATGAATGGTAAAGATTAGATCTTAAAATGTCATCTAAAAGCTCATATTGATTCATTAATGGTAATGTGGTAATTTGTCATTGTGTTGAGACAATATTGACTTGGTCAAAAGTCTTATAAATGGAGGCCTAGGATTATTTTAGGTTCCTCTCATCTTAAGGCTAGAAATTGGTGCCATACTTAGTCTAACTACATACTATAAAATCTATATATTTACATGTGTCATTATATACATAATTCTCTACAACTATTTAAATTTATCAAAATAATTTATGACATTATAAATCATCTATATGAGCAAAATTCATATCTTATAAATGGAAGGCTAAGATTATTTTAGGTTCCTCTCATCTTAAGACTAGAAATTGGCTATACACTATAAAATCTATATATTTACACATGTATTCAACAATTAATTCTCTACACCTATTTAAATTTATTAAAATAATTTATGACATCATAAATCATCTATATGAGCATAAATCATATCTTAATAAACTAAATTTCTAAACATGTGAAATTACTAAAAATACCCCTATGATTTATTTATCAATAAAATAATTAAGGGGCAATTTAACAAAGTCATATATAAGGTTTCAATTTTAACAAAATGTTAGAAAAGAATACAACGACCCGAAAAATCATTTTTAAAAGTTTTTCATTTAAAAGTCTAAATATTAATTTTAACCAATCATATTTTAGGATATTATTAGATTTAAAATTTTATAAAGTATGCCTTGTGAAATATTTAAAAAAAAATCTAATAATAAATGCCTTATTTGTTAAAACCAAACTTAAAGAGTTAATTAAACCATTAAAAATCAATTAAAATCAAATAAAATCATGATTTGGACCAAACCAAACCCGATTCGAACCAAATCATTCACAAAAACCTAAACAAAATCATCTAGAAGCCTCTCCCCCTTTAGCGCCGACCTCAGCCCCTCCCCTTTCTTTTTCTTTCGTTTTCCGGTCACCTGAAGCCAGCGTCGGTTTCGCCTCACCGGCCATTGCCTCCCTGCCACATTGCCACCTCACCAAAGCTCCCGACTCTCTTCCTCTTTCTCCTTTCGTTTTTGGCGAATTCAGTAGCCACAGGAGAGCTTCGACTTCGTTCGATTGGGAAATTGCATCTCCTCTGCAACTTTTCGGGGACTCTAATACCCACGATCAGCGACGAAGCTCCAATCTCTCCCTTTCTCGCTCTCTCTCTCTCTCTTCTGTTTTCGGTTGGTGCAACAAAATGAAGTGCTGCGATTGCGATCTGTCATGATTGGGATAGTCGACTCGTCTTTCCTCTTTGCTTTTTCCAACGTAACCTGTCAAAGACCTGCCGGTTACAATTTCCAACATCTCCAGTAATTCCATTAGCCACCGTTCTCCTTAGCTTCGGCCAAGTTATCGCCAGCAGAATCAACTTTGGGCGTTTGAGCTGTTTTCGGTTATTTTAATTGGAAAATAATCAACTTCTGATGTAATTTTTAGCTAGGTAACTGATATTTGGTCCCTATTTTGCTATATTTTATTTATTACATAATTTATTGAAAAACTTTTGATGAATTTTGGATGAGAAGAGCTAGATTCTTGTAATGCAGTTAACATGGGTTTAAGTTAAAGAAAGCTTGATTCTATCTATCAATTGAGACCATAATTAAGAAACTTTATTTAGGATTGTGCAAATCAGTGTTTATGTTGGGTATTAAGTAGAAACTTTGTATTCCTTCAACTAGTAGCAATTAATCTAACTAATTCCTTGACTTTACTATGTGGGATGAGTTGTATTATTTAGAACAAAATTTATGTAAAACGGTTGTGACAATTGAATGTTGATATTGAGGTTAAAGGAGGAGAGAAATTTGACTTGATTGATTGCCCGACAGATGGATTGTGCAGATTGAATGGATATTTAACAAAATATATTTAAACAGGTTGATAGTCTAATTTTTAAAGAAGATGCTGCTGAAATTTCAGCAGAATCTAGTCTAATTATAGCATTTAGATACATAGATAATTTATTAGATTAATTCCCTAATTCTTTATTTAAATGAGTCCTTTATTTGATGCAATTCTTTCCTTGTATTCTTAAATTCTTTAGATCGTCCGGGCCTGACTATTGCTCCTCTAAGTCAAAATTCGAGTTAGAGCTTCTTCTTTCTTCTTTATTTTTAAATGGAGTCCTTATTTGATTGCAATTCTTTCCTTGTATTCTTAAATAGATTAATTCCCTAATTCTTTATTTAAATGAGTCCTTTATTTGATGCAATTCTTTCCTTGTATTCTTAAATTCTTTAGATCGTCCGGGCCTGACTATTGCTCCTCTAAGTCAAAATTCGAGTTAGAGCTTCTTCTTTCCCTATCACAATGAGTAATAATAAATATTACATAAACCATTATAAGCATGCATACATTAGCTACCATATAATGAAGCATATAAATGTTAAGTTAATAATCATTATATTATTATTATTATATGCTTATATTTATATATTTATATCATATCTTTATGTTTGCATGTAAATTGTTATCTTGATGCATTATATTGAATAATTGTTTGATTACTTGCGCTGTGATATTGTTGTGTCTTGTTTGTGTAGAACTGGGATGAAGTTGGTCACCACGCGTTTGTGAGAGCGGTCTTCGATACCATCGGCCATGTATGGGGAGATCGGTGCCCCTGTGTGCATTTGATAATATATGATATGGAAAACTACAGTGTGACCTCCTGTTGGTATGGAAAAGAAAAGAGAGTATAAAAAAAATCAAAGAGCTGGTCAAGTGAGGATTAGACTGGTCTGCCATGTATGGGGATCGGCTCCCTAGTGCGTAGGTTTGAGAGGGCGGGCCATGTAGGATGACGGCTCATCAAGGGTTTCGGTGACGCCACTGTCCAAATTCCACTTGTTTGATTATTTGAAGGTGAAATTACTTTAGGTGCTGATTTTGTGCCATATGACTGACTAGTTGTGTGTTCATTTTAGTATCTTAAGATGCATGCCATGTGAATGTCTGTACTATGCATTATTTATTGTTATTCACTGAGTTGCAAAACTCACTCCTCTCTTATTTAACTTTGCTGGAAGGAGGATTCCCGTCGAGTTGGCAAAAGCTCTGCAACCTTCTCCGTAGAGCTATAAAATGAAATTCCTAATTTATGTAGTTGATTAATTTATGTATTGTTATATATAAGAACTTCACTACTTCTAGTTATTATTGAACTCTGCAATTGTATGATTTATATACCTCAGTCATGTATTAAAATAGGTATAATAATTTATGAACCTATGAATGTGTTAATCATTTTTCTAAGTGCATGTATTAACCACTAGCCCATATTATGAATGTGGTGTATTACAAATAGGCCCGAATTATATAGTACTTGAGATGTTTAAGATCGGGCCAGGAATATGTGATTACTTGATATATATAAAATAATATGGGCTTGCTGTTCTTAGAAATCCGTTTGGCATGTATGTACTTTGTGGTTTACGCTTGCTACAGGCCTCAAATCTTTAAGCTTAGTCCTAGTACCGGTCCGGCCCATGATTTCGGGTGGTGACAAATACTTATTAAGATAATAACAAATTTGATAAAAAAATTTTCTATAATACCAAAACTGACCTTGCAAGAGAAACGGAAAACACCAAAAAAAGAAAATAGTAAAAAAAGGAAACACTAAAAAAGAAAATGCTGAAAAAAGAAAACACAATTAAATAAGAAATCTATAAGGGTAAATCACTGTACAACTTATGTGATTCAACCATGATGATGACAACGGGTGACGACAACTAACAATCGGCGACGACGACAACAGCGATGATAAATCCGATATATACGATATGTGTGTGTGTATATATATACTGTAAAATCAATTAAATACAGAATAGATATATATGCATCAATTAACAAGTTGGATCAAACCAATTAAATACGGTTTATATATATACTGTATCAATAACTATTGTAAAATCAATTAAATACAGAATAGACATATGTATAACAATTAACACATCGGATTAAATCAAGTATATATATATATATATATAGATATAGATATATAAAACTGTATTAGTATCAATCCAACAAAAACATATATCAATTCTGGGATTATATGATTGTGTAAAAAACTGATAGAAATATTTCCAACAATAAACAACAAATCAAAAACAGAAATCAACATATCTTATGAATCAAAAATGAAACCATGGAACAATACCAATAATGAGAAGAACGATATCAAAAGGAGAAAGAACGATAAAAAAATAATGAGGGCTAAAAAAACGACAGCGGAAAAATATTAACAAACTCAAAAAAGGAAACGATAAAAATAGAAAATTAATACAAAAGGAAAAATAGTAATAAACTAATGCCTACCAATAAAAAGCAAAATAGTAAAATTATATCATGAGAAATTAAATTTAAATCTCAAAGTAAAACTGATATTTTTTAAAATTAAAATTTAAAAACTGACATTTAGTACAATATCCCAATAATTAATCATGAGAAATTAAAATCTTAAATTTAATTAATCAAGACTAATCATATAAAGTGTAATTAACTCTATAAATATTAATTATGATTAATATCCCTCTCAAATCAAATAAATATAATTTTCCTATTGGGCAGTACCATTCATGACTTGGTATAATAATATCATTTTAAGATCCAAAATTTTAGAATGTTACAATTATATCTCTATTTCTCTCCCAATATTTTTTTTATTATTTTATAACATGTTATATGCACGATTTCGTTCTATGGCTTTAATTTCGTTCTACCAATTAATCGAATGACTTAAAAAGAGAATAACTTGTGGTTTGTGACAATTAAAGTTAAGGTTTACAAGTTTAAATTTATTAAGCTTTGAATGGAAATTCTTTATACTTTTTTTAAATTATATTGTTAGAGGCAGATATAACGATAAACATGTTAGTGATAGATTTTCAATTTCCTACTAAATCATTAAGTGACCGAATTCACCGACTGATATTTCCATCGTTAAATAGTAACCGATTATATTTTCCTTCGCCAACCCCTTATCGACCTGATAAATTGTGATCAATTTTTGTTATCATTTTTCTATCGCTATTTGTTTTTAATAATAAAATATTTACATTTAGCAAGCTGGCCACTAGTGTGTGTATATATATCTGACTTCTCATCAATAAAAATTACACTCATATTTTCCTATTTATTTGTCTCCCTACTTTTTCCTATTATTTTATAACATAAAGAATACAATTTGCCAATTAAGCCCACCTTGGAGTTAAAATTAGCTACTCAATATGAATTCCAATTCCAAATAAGGAAATAATATATGCAAAGAGATGGAGAAAATGATTTTATTTGGAAAGGAAAGAACATGGTAAAAAAAAAATGGTACAGTTCTTTCACAACTGATCGCATTTGGTGGGAAGGAATGATAAAGTTTGCTTTCCAAGATCATGCACAACCAAAAAATTCTGCTGCTGAACATTTCCAAAAATAGACATTCCGCTTGAACTTCCCATAGCCAAACAAAGAACTCCAAAGCTTGAATCAGCAATCATATAATTCTCTGCAGGCAGTTGTAAGTCAGCTTCATCGAAGTGAAATAACAAGGTAGGAACCTCTACTTGAGTTGAATCGGACGGTAAGGAAAAGCAGAGTTCAAGGCCTGTTGTGCCTGAGTTGTCTACTGAGAGACCCACCTGAGAAATAAACTCTTTCTTCACCAAATTAAAAGCGGTTTCTTCTAGATAAGTTATTGTAGTGCCTGAGTCTATAATGAGCCCTCCACTACCATCATCTTGAAGTTGAAAAGTTGATTTCTTAATAGGCAAGCGAGACCCACCAACCGAGATCCCTTGAAGAGAAAGATAATAAAAAGATGGCTGCAAAGGGTTTTGGATTAAAGGTGTGGTTTTGATGCTTGTGTGATTCACGCTTGCTAGAGATCCTATCAAAAGTGTACTAGTCTTTTGCGAGCTATCAATGGAAGTCAGGCAATAAGAGAATTGGTCTTCTTTGAGTTGGGAAACTAAAGACAGGGGCCCTCGGCCAAGGCCAACTAGACCTGAAGCTTGGGTGAATCCATCTCCCTCGTTGTCTTCTCCACACCCGAACCCAATATTTGGAGCAGAAACCTTATTATCCCCGAAGGTGAAGGTTTCCGTTGCGAGAATCCCTTGCGTGGAGGAATAATCTCCATATGTATAGAGATATTCACACCCATCATTGCAGGAGGACTGAGGGAGCGCTTTACAGAGTTGTGTAGAACATGATAACTTTGAGAAAGAAGAAGACTTTTTGGGATCGAAAATGGGGCTTGGTTGATTAAAACACTGACTGCAAGGCTTGCACTGTGTCCAAATCAAATCACTGCCAGTATCCATTATTGCAGAGTAGCTTTGAGGTGGTGTTCCAATTGCTAAACTCATTACGAATTCACCATTCCCTGGAACGACAGGAGCTTGGATTTCTGATTCCGAATTAGCAGCTTGTGCTTTCAGCTTTTCTAATCTCTGAGTGGCTCGCTTCATACCGTGTTGGATTCGCTCGAATTTGGTTAAGTTTTTATCAGAATCCACATGCTTCAACATCACTCGGAATCCACTTTTTATCACCTTATTACTAGCATAATAATCTAAAGCTCGTCTTGATGTACAAAATGCTGGAGAAGCAAAAAATGCTATTGCTAGCGCCTGTAATGTTAGCCAACACAAAATGAATGTTGAAGCCATGATGAATAACTGAGGAGGTACCTACAGAAATGGAGTTTGTATGTGACAAATTGTTTCCAATGTGTGAAGTAAAAACCAAGTCATTCCAACCCCAGTGGAGGTTGAGATATCATGGCCTTTCTTAATACTATTGCCTGTCCCTTCGGCGCGGTGGTTGGGAAATTTGAGATTCAAATACAAGCATATTTTAATTTTATATCTAAGGTTTCTTCAACAACTTCTTTGGCATTAGAGAATATATGTATTATCTTTTTTTAATTTAAATAAAATAGATAATAAAAAATTTTATGTTAGAGTGAGAATATCGCTGTCTTTTCAATTTGATGGTATTGGTTCAAATTTATATTTTTCTCAATCAAAAATTTATTTAGTTGATAAATATTCAGTTACTTAAATTAGTATCGAGATCAAAAGATAAAAAAATTAGAAGAAGATGGTCTCTTTTTAATTTTTAAAGGATATTTGACTAATTAAAATCATTTTTTGGTACAAAATTAAAATCATATTATTTTTGCTTCATGTCTACAAATTAATCATGGCGAGCTGACGGTCGGGATCACCTGAGGATGTTGGAGCTGAAAAACTCGGATTGTCTACTATATAATAATCGGTTTCTTGTGTATGCTTCTAACATATAATTAATATAAACATATAGACACGTATCTCCGGACAAGTGGATGGGAATTGTGTTAGTGGTTGGTGGGCTAACTTGCTCACTGATTAGGTATTGATGTAACTAAGTTGGTTTGACGCTCCTATTTTTCACCATTTCCTGTTTCTTTTTTTTTCCTTTTTTTCCTTTGTCTCCCTACTTAATATTTCTATTTATTTTATTTTATTTATACGGATACTGCGGATCTTACAATCAAAGAAAAGTCTTAAAACTATAAACATTTAGGATACACAAAATTTAACTTAAAATAAATATTGAACTTGAAACAAGTCTTAATTTACACGTTAATTTGTTTCTGTAAATAAAATAATTTGCAGAAAAATATTTTTTATAATCTTTCATTATTTAGAACATGAAAAGAAAATAAGTCAAGAAAAATAAGTTGTTGGTCAATAAAAAATAATTTATCAATTAAGGAAAATAACTTACACTTGTTTACATGAGAAAATATTTTTCTAATTTATTTCATAATCTAAAACTTGCCTTTTTGGTCCATTAAGGAACCCTTTATCTGTTAAAGATGTACAATTGTAAGCTTGCAATCTTTTTATAAGTGTAAAAATGTACCAAGTGGCTCGTTTTGGTGGAAGAAATATTTAAAATAATTTATTGATAGGTTCATACCATTTAAAATATATTTTATAGTATACTTTTTGCGACATGATTATTTTAAAATAATCATTAAATTATTTTAACAATATATATTTTAAATGGTATGAGCTTTAACATATTTTTAAATATGTTAAAGCTCATACCATTTGCTCAAGCTCATACCATTTAAAATATATATTTTAACAATATATTTTAAAATCATTATAGTACTTATATATTGTTAAATTATTTTAATATGATATACACTGTATTGTTAGATAATTTAATTAAAAAAATTAAATCACATTACTGGACTAAATTAATTGTCATTATAGTATTTATAATAAAAAGTATACATTTTAAATAGAAAATGTAAATTATTATAAAAATATTATCTTTAATTTAAATTCACATAAATATTATAAAGGAAAATTACAATATAATTTTTGTGATTTGCGAAATACAACTACTTTGTCCATTTCTTTTAGGAAATAGACTAAAATGTCATTGTAGTTTATTTCTGTCAGACTATAAGGTCCTTTCATCCGATTTTTATATTTTTTTCGTTAAGTATCTTATGAAATAAAGAAGATACCCCTTTTGTTTTTAATATAAGGATGGACTAGTTATTCAAACCATAGGGATTAAACTATTATTTTTTTGGTATAATGTTTTAATATCTCTCATTTGACCTTTGTATTTTTAATATCTCTCATTTGACCTTTGTATTTTCTTGTTGACTTAACGAAAATGATGTAAAAATTGGAAAGAAGAACCTAATAGTGTAACAGAAGCAAAACATAAGGATAAATTATTATATTTTTAAAAAACTATGGATGGATTAATTGTATTTCGCAAACCATAGGGGTCGTACTGTAATTTTACCACAATATAATAGGTGTAAATGCATTATATGATGAAAAATTAAATTTTTTTAATGTTATATCAAATGTTGAAAAATATTTTCCAAAAATATTTTATATAAAGCCAAACGTTGAAAAATAATGTATTTTCCTGTAAAATAATTTCCATGGAAAACCATTGTTAAAAAATTAATCTAACCATTTTCACAAATTTAAAGAGCTTCGTTATTTTAGTAAATTTAGAAATTAAGAAATAATATATATAGAAATAATATATATATATATATATATATATATTTATAATATATATATATATATATATATTATAGTTACAAATCGCGGAGCATTGGATTTCTAAAGTGCCTTTGCTAAGTTTAATAGATTGGACAAAGATATTTGAGATATAGTTACAAATCGCGGAGCATTGGATTTCTAAAGTGTCTTTGCTAAGTTTATAGATTGACAAAGATATTTGAGAACTTTAATTTTATCGATTGAAAAATAAAAGTAGTTTAATTTTGATAAGTTTAATCCAATCCTAAATAAGAAATAAGAAGTTATATAAAGAATATATTAAATATGGTAAGTGTATAATATTTTTAAGGATTTTAATTTTATTGGTTGAAAACATAATGATAATTTAATTTTGATTGGTTATATTATTTTCTCCTTAACAAATTTTATTTTTTATATTAGTTTCCTACTTTAATCCAAATTTTATTAGCTAAAAAATCGTTATAAATTATAATAATTGTACATTTAATAATTATTAAACTTCATATAAAAAAAGGATGAGATATAATGTTAGTAATACTTGCATATAATTTTGAACCGCATTGAATTTTTATATATACTATAACAAATAATTTTATATTTTAATATCTTCGATTTTATATAATATATTAAATATAGTATATTAAAATTATATTTTATATTGAATAAGGGTATATTAAAAATGGTGAGAATATAAAATTTTGATTTGATAAAATAAGAAATTATGTATAACATTAAATATGGTATAATATATAACATATTTTATAAGACGCATTCTGCAGGAGAATACAAATAGCATCATAGCAAAAATCTAATTTGATATTGATATTGATGACAACAATAAGAATACATAAAAGTTATCTTAATTTCTCTCTAAATCTCATTTCTTTTATTTGGCTTTTTTTTGCTGATTGTTTAATTTAATATTTGTAGATGCTCAAATTTTTTCCCTAAAAAGTTCAGTAATGATATATGGTTTTTTACATAAATTTGGATTGGGATTCTTGATCGCCCAGTTACCAGGTGTTTCGCGATAAAATCGGGCCCGAGAAGCACGCCGGGCCTGCCCGGGGCACTTTCCTATGCACCACCTCATTTTACGGGTCCTATTGCAGGGCTCGTTAGTGGCATTTTGCCACATTAGCCTTTAGAATGGGGCCACCCACCCTTGCCTATAAATAGGTATTGGGGGATGTGCCTTAGGGGAGGATTTTTGATGCCTTTCGAGAAGCTCTTGTGTTTTGAAACTCAACCTTGAAATCAAAGGCAACTTGTGTTTCCCTTTGTTCAAAGTTGAGATTCATTGTTCTTCAATTAGAAAAACCATCAAAGATTAGTTAAGAATCCTAAAAACACATTCTTCAATCTTCAATCTCAGATTGCTGGATCAAGGACTAAGCATTTGGGTTTCTTCATCCACCTTTTGCACTAAATTCTAAGAAAATCACCAAAAAGTAATAATCTGAGAATTTCTAATCAATTTCTTTGTTTTCTTCTTTCTTTTTCAGTGTTTTAAGCACCTATTTAGAGTCTGGTTGTGAGGGAGATCTAGGATAAACCACAAGAGTGTCTCTGCACCTCTATGGTGCACAGTCCTAGATAGTGGCGCAAGCCACTACATGTGGCATGCGCCACAAGCTTGTGGCTCGCGCCATATCAACCTAGAACCTTTGTTTTGACTCTGTTCTTGCTTGTCCTTATCTAGGAAGGGCCTTGTACTATTACATGGGGCGCACGCCATATCCTTGTGACGCACGCCACTTCTCCCTGTGGTGGCCCGGTTCCAACCTTAAGTGGCCTGGGATGCGTATTTGGCCACAATGGATCAAATAAACCATAATAAATAAGATTAAGAGCAATGATTGGTGTATTTATTCATCATTCATGATGAACATCAAGGTCATGAGCTTAAATCTTGTTCAATCATTTAAATTCTTGCATTTTAATTGTTGTCTTTCATTTTTCAAGCACTTTATTATTCTGTCCTTTAATTTTATGCTTCTAACTTAATATTTTATATTTATTATTGCACTAATCTTTCACTTATTAACATTGTAATTAGAACATGCATCATTTGATCATTTATTGTATGAATGAATGATTGTTGATTGTGAATGTATGATTTTTGATTCTAAGAGTAATGGGTTACTCTGTGTTTGTGATTGATCTTATGGATGTTTTATTCTTTTTATGCTTTAATAGAAATAGGTATGGTTTGTAAATCTTTTCTCCTTCCCCCCCCCCCCTTTCTTTGAATGTTTACTTTCATGATTTATATTTCGTTGAAATGTTTGATTGACATAGTTTTCCAAATTTGCATTAAAACCATTTTACATCTCATTTTTAGTTAATTGCATTATTAATTTCTTGTGGATCATTAGACAACAAGGAGGCCGATTTAACCGGGCAATATGGGTGCAAATAAGTGTAAGATAAGCTGTCATAGCAAGAATAACTACGTTGTCCAAACTAGGACCATGTGTTTCCCAAGATAAGATCCCAAATTAAGTCAAAATATTATGCCTTATCCCAAACAATATAATTCAATCTGGATAAGATTAAGTTTTAACAAGGATTTAAGTGGATAAGTTTAAGCTCCAAAAGATATGGACAAATAATTCTGCTGTCTTATCCCACAAATTAGATAAGATTAGGTTTTAGCAAAAGATTAAAGTAGATAAGTTTAATCTCCAAAAGATATGGACAATTAATTATGTTGCCTTATCCC